ATTTGCTAAATCTGTGGGAACTGGCCCTGCCTGAAATCCCTGCCCAACCCTGCCTCCGCGTTCCTAGCTACGTGCTCTGTAGCACGGGCAGTTGTAAAGTTGACCTTTTCACCCATTGGTTAATAATGCCAGGCGCTCATTGGACTAAGATGGACTTTGCTTTACACCTGATGGACCTTAATCTGCATGCAGGACGTCTTTGAGAACTAGCGCGCGCCCTTTTACCTACAGCTGATTGGTTAACGTTCTTACGCTTCATTAATGTACCTGTTGGATTGGATGCTGTGTCGCACACCTTATTAAAATATGCACCTCCCAGTTCCCCCTTTTATATACCCCAGCTTTGCCCAAATAAATGAGCTTGATCAGAGTTTTGTCTTGCTCCACGCCCCCGTGTCTTCTTTTCTCCATCCAGGTTCGTCTTTCCCCGCAGGGCCTTGCTCGTGTGTCCCGCAGGCCGGGACGCAACACACTCCCAACACGCACACATACATATTCAGGCCTTAGCGTTAGTGCAGTTGAACCTTGTGATTGACAGTTTAGCCTTCTCTAGACATCTGCTTGTATGCCACTAACCATGCAAAGGCATTCAGTTGTATGGATGAATCTTAAGAAGATTGGGAATTCTGGAATACTTCATTGTGTGCTCCTGTGGAACATGGATCAAGAGGTAGTTGTGTGAATAGAACTGCATGTTTAAAATCAGGAAAGGTACCGTGTATCAGGATTGTATCCTGTCACTGAACTTATTCCATCTGCACGCTGAGCAAATCATCAGAGAAGCTGGCTCATATAACGAGGAATGTGGCATCAGGGTTGGAGGAAAGCTTATTAACAGCCTGTATTACGCAGATGACATAACTTTGCTTCCTGAAAGTGAGGAGGGCTCGAAGCATTTTCTGATGAAGGTCAAGGATTACAGCCTCAGTACAGATTATGACTCAATGTAAACAAGACCCAAATCCTCACAACTGGACCAGTAGGTAACATCATGATAAACTGAGAAAAGATTGAAGTTATCAAGGATTTTTGTCTTGCCTGTATCTATAATCAATGCTCATGGAAGCAAGCAGTCAAGAGATCAAATGACTCATTGCATTGGGTAAATTGCTACACAAGACCTCTCTAAAATGTTGAAAAGCAAGGAGGTTACTTTGAAGACAAAGGTGCACTTGACCCATGCAATGGTATTTGCAACGGCCTCATATGCATGTTCAAGTTCAACATTAAATAAGGAAGACAAAAAAACAAAAATGTGTTTGAATAATGGTGCTGAATATTGACAGTACCATGACTAGGAAACAAACAAATCTGTCTTGGAAGAAGTTCTGCCAGAATATTCCTTTGAAGCAAGGTTGACAACTTTGTCTCAACATACTTTGGTCAGTCATGTTATCCTGGAGAGGAACATCATGCTCGGTAAAGTATCAGGACAGAGAAAAAGAGGAAGATTGCCACAGATGGGCTGGCGAAGTCGCTGAAACAATGGACCCAGACATAATCAACATTGTGCACGGGCCTGGGCGGTGCTTCCTTCCGTTCTCCAGGGGGTGGCTGGCAGTGGAAATTGACTCAATGGCCCCAGACCCCAGAAGTCTGCTACTCCTGAAGTTGAGTTTCATGCCTAGCCCACCGTGTTTTGAGTTGATATGGTGGTTTTCTTTTGCCCGCAGAATAGGAGAATAATTTTATAATTGCCAACCCATGCTCTAAGGAGCCCTGGTGATGTTGCGGATTAAGCATCGGGCTGCTAAGGTTGTCAGTTTAAACCCACCAGCTGCTCCGAGGGAGAAAGATGAGGCTAGCTGCTCCCATAGAGTCACACTCTTTGAAAGTGTGAGTCGGAATCAGCTTCATGGCAGTGGTCTTGGCTGGGTTTGGGGAACCAGTCCCTGTGGCTTCCACACTCGGTCGTGTATTGGTGATTGATCACTCTCAGTCTTTCACCATCTTTAATGTTTAATAACCCTTCCAAAAATGGTCATCAAATTCCAAAGGTCTGACCATTGCGATGTCCTCAGCCACCCGAGACACTGCTTGTGCAGGGGCAGTCCTCGCACGTTCTGGTTTCCCGGGGGTGGTGGCCCAAAGAGTGGCCACGTCTCTCTAGCTCCTTTAAGACTGTTCCTTAATGGAGGACGACTGCAGGAGGCGTGTGTGTATTCGAAAACATTTCTTTCTGGAGAACGTACATTTGAAAAC